TTTTAAATTAACTAATGACTTCATATTCTAAAATTTTTAATTTATAAATGTTATTATTTTACTTATTTATTTAATCTATTGACTTGTCAAGATTAAATGTTAGAACTGCTTCATCAGTAAAGATCTAAAGATTCATTTTACTAAACTTGTATAGATTTTTTTTTTAATTTTAAAAGTACAAATTTTATTATATTGAATTCGTTTTATCTTTAATTTTCATAATTGTTGTAATTATTCATTTTAATGTTGCAAAATTTATGGTTGGATGTTATTCACTAGAAAGTATTTGTTTGATCTCAGATAGTGCAACTGATATTGTGCGTCCTGTTAACCACCGAAGGACTTTGGCTAGTGAAGATTTGTTTTGTAATACCTCTTTTATATAATTAAGCAATTTATGTATTATGTTTTGAAAATATGATTAGGTACTTTGCATATACTATAATTAGGATCTTCTTTGATTATCTTTATTGTTGATTTACTACCAAGAATTGAGCTCTTGATTATTTTGTGTAAAAATATTGTTGTACAATTTTTAGGAGATCCTATCTTAAGGAAAAGTTCTGTGGCAACTTTTACAAAATATTAAATATATTATTTTTATTATTCGCACTAAAAATGGTTGATTGGTTGTCAAATGTTTTGATGATTTAGAAATTAGAGTTTCTTAAGTTGAGATGTTTCGGGATATGGATTTGTTCCTATATTTCATGTCGGTCATGCCTTATTTTCAGGGCGTGACACTTTGGGCTCTCAAAAAAGTCATCATGTCACTGAGCCCATTTACTGATTCTGTTATAAACTTTCACTTGTATATATACTATTCTGTCATTAATGGTAGTTAGAGTGAAAAAAATCATACGTATAAAGACTCATTACCTTTATATGCATCTTTCTCTCTCCCACTCATCGCCTTCAGTAAGCCTATTTATATATTATTATTATATATGCCATTTCTGGATAAAGACTTCATTATTTTTTGATAGAATTAGTTAAAATTTCATACAGTTGTATACATAAAAGATACTATGGCAAACACAACCTAGTTGACAACTAAAACCTGCTGTAGTTTAAGTCTGAACATACACAGCCATGTAGCTTTTACATCAAAGACTGCGTAAACAACATTATTCATACAATTATGCTCTTGGAGACATTTAGTGGTACATAATTCTCTTGCTAACATCTTCATCATATACCAAATGGATAGCTGTCTTTTTCATTGTAATTCGCATGCAAAAGTGACTATAACCTCCACTCTATTACTAGGCTCTAAATTAAAACCAATGTTTTTTGCCGCTCTACATCCTTTGAAGTAATTGTTGCATCTTGCTTGTAAAATTTAATGGTAGCCTTTGTACGATTTGATACCAAGACACCAACAGGATATAATGTCATGTTGTCTTGAGAAGACAAATAGGTATGCAAATAATCATTCCTTTCAAGCTCCTGCCAACTATTTGAGGCACTTCAAACAATGCTGAAGATCCTTCACCTTTGAAACTTAGCCCACTCAAGATGATTGTCTTTAGGAAGAGAACTATCACCAAACCCTCTTTCACTGCATCCTGAACATGAAAATAACAAAGACAAACTAATAATAAACCATGTAGACAAAAGGCATGCATATAAATGGTCACTATTCAATTACAAATTGTATTAGAACTCATGCTTAAACAAGTATATTTAAAAATATTAAATGAAGTTAGCTTGAATATGTGTCTAAATTTTCTCATCAAATTAGTGACTGTGTATGGAATTTAAAGTCCTATGAGTGTGGCAGATTTATTTCCAAGTGCATCGAAGTAAGGGTTTCTAGATGAATCAAATATACAATAGCCAATGTTTGAAGCAATGTAATGTGCATTGCTACATACTTAAACGCAGTCAATGTTTTGAAAAAAAAAAGGCATTCAATGTTGTTAAAAGTATAATGTACATTATCATTAGTATTATTACGTACATAGAAACACTGATAAGCTATAAATTTAAGTACATCATTTCACATTTAAGTTTGAAAATATTTGAGTTACTTAATTAAAAGCCAGGTAAACATATATGATAAAAGTGGATCTTCTATGAACATTTGAAAATTGACATTGATAAATCATGTTATATTGGCGGTTGAGATAAAGAAAATAAACTATGAGATATTTTTTAAAAGTGTATTGATAGCTTTATTGAACCCACCACATGAATTGTGAGGGAACTCATGAAAGTTTCTGACCTTTCCATGTGAATTTGATTTTGAAAACCATTAGTACTATCGCACTTCTACATGAAGTTTGAGATGTGCTCGGTATTGCTTCTAACATTTCATGACTTTTGGCACATGAACGATGTGATAGACCCTTGATCAAAGATGGCATGATCCTAAAGGATTGGAACAAGGACTTTGAATGATTTGTTGGGGACATCCAAGAGAAAACAATAGACAGAAATAAATCACGTGATAATCCTTCGTAGCCACATAGAGACGCATATTTAATGCTTTTCATTCTTGCTAATGAAAAGGGTACTTGTGTTTATAGCAGTTTGATTGGCCATCAGAGTTGTCAAAGATTCCATTTGCTCAATGTCTTCTTCCAACTTTTCAATCATTGAACAACCAAAAAGATTGAAGGTTTTCAAAGATCTCAACTTATATATACTTCTTGGAGATCTCTTAAGCCTTTGCAGTCCTTCAAATTTAACAAAATAAATATTTGAGATCTCCAATGGAAGGGTGAATCATAGACAAACTCAAACAATCTTTGAGTATTAACTTCTCAAGGTTGGGTAACATTGAAAAGTCAGGTGTCTCTATCAAGTAATGGGAATGACTT